GGGGGGGAGGGAGGGAAGAAAAGGCAACCCAGAGGGCGGAGCTTGTGCAAAGTTAACGGAGACAGCAGAGAACAAGGTCTACTCCAATGACTGGAGGCAGATTTCAGCAAGACTGAGGTTGGTTTGCAGAGCAGATAAGAGCAGTAGATGATGGGAGTGTAGAGAAGGCAAGGGTTAGATCACAAAGAGCTTGACAAGTTCCTACTGGAGCGGAGGGTTTAAGATAGAAGATACTTAAATTGCTTAAGAGCTGGGGGAAGAATAAGAGAGAAAGGTTTTCAGTGTGGTAGTAGGATCAGATGACAGGTAGATCAAGGTCCTGGCATGGTGCTAACAAGACTTTCCTAAATCCCAGTGAATTTTGCTCTTTGTAAGAGTGTGATCCTAAAGTATTGTAATTGGATGAAATACTGTATAAGGGCTCCTATAGTCCTTGATTCCCCTAATCAAAGTTTTAATTGAAGGAGTCCCCTTGACATTTAGTAGGATTCTATGATAGCTCTGAAAAATAAAAAATGCTTTGGTAATATAAAAATGTTATTCATCAGTGTGTCTGCTCTGTCTGGTTAAGGTTTCATACAGTTGTATTTTCAAAGGAAAAGGAAGGGGCTGTGACCTTCCTCCGACCTTCTAAACCAACCTACATGAGCCTGTCAATCTTGAGGATGGACTCCCCTAGCCCCAGAAAGATCATTCTGGTAGCTTCGTGAGCGGTGCACGGGAAGCAGGCATGACTGGGGTAGGGGGCCAGGTGGAGGGATGACTATCTTTGTAGTAGTCCAGGGGAAATTAAAGTGGGTCTAACAAGAAAAATAATGGTGAGAATGGAAAGAAAAGGAAAGAACAGTGCTCCAGCCATTCTGAAATGGGCTCAGCTCCTTCCCCTCCAATATCCTCCTTTGTCTGTGACTGAATGCACATATACTGTGTGCTCCCATGAAGGTATATGTCTCTAGTGACTGGCTAGCTGTTGACTACAGCCACTCCTTCCTCTTGGTCACACAGCTAGATTAATTCCCAGCCTCCCTTTCAGTTAGGTGTGGCCATATGACTGAACGGAATGCGAATGGAAGTGATGAACGTCATGTATAGGCTTGACTCATAAAGACCACCACTCCTCTGTGATTTTTCTCCCCTCCCACAGGAACCAAGAGAGCCATGTGTTGAAGACAGTGGAAACACAAGCTGAAGAGAGCCTGGGTCCCTGGATCACTGCCTAGAGGAGAGCCACCTACTGATCAGGAACGCCAGTCTGGGACTTTACTGAGCAGGAAATAAACCTCTATTTTATTACACCATTAAGATTTTAGGGGGCTACCTTACAGAGTACAGTCCCATTTCCTTTTGGCTTTTATCAATGTGTTCTCAAGTAGCCAGAGTGGGAGGGGTCAACACCCTTTCCAAACCCAACAATATCCTGAGCCTTAGAAAACTGTCCTGGCTCTGGATGACTAGGGATCTTCTTGCCTCCCTGGAGAGTGTTTGTGGGGTCTCGAGGAGGTGCTAGAGGATGGTATCAGACACATTTTGTATGCCAGAGCCCTACTTTCCCAGATCTACTTAGAGCACACAGACTCTAAGACTCTAACGCATCTGTAGTTAGTAGGATCTAAGGCAAGGCAGGGTCTCCTGCCTCTTACTTCTCACCTTCCTCAACCCTTCCCTCTCTCCCATCACCATCCCCTAGCTGCTGGCAGCTGAGTCAGGACAGGACCAAGAGGCCCTGCATGAGGAAGAAAGAGAAAATCAGTGGTGAGATCTGCTGACACCAATTTTTGAACTGCATGGCAGGGAAAAGGAGGCTGCCAGGAGAGTGAGCATGCCAGGTCTCACATTTAGGGTCTGTACACTTGACAGAGTCAACTTGGCAGAGGCGGGGAGCAGCGAGCACTGGAGTGCAGATGAGCACCCCCAGGCAGGTCGGACCAAGGCAAACAGGAGGCCCCATCTGGCCCACATCTCCACGCTCATTAAAAACCAACGAATTCCAGAGGACGCGTTTGAGACTCAACTCAAGAATCAGAAGGTTCAGCTGGTGAGCCGACACCATCCTCCCTGGCTGGGGAGTGGAGGGGGAGTGAGGATCCTGAGTCACAGGCAGCCGAGCCGGGCTCAGGATGGAAACCCAGGCGCAGGGCCTCCTCCTCAGGCTGCACCAGAGCGCCAGCCCAGCCCATTGTCTGCTGCTTGTTAATTTCATGCCTCAGAGATCAAACCTCCAATGCCTTTCTTGGCTAATGCTACTTGGGTGCATTTTAAAATCTCTGAGGGGCCAAACTCCACCACTTGGACAAGCCCCTCCCAGCCAAGCATTTCCCAGTTGTCCTTGGCCACCTGGACTGGTTTCCAGGGCAGACCCTGCTCCCATGACACACATTCGCAGAGGTTTGTCACACAGGAAATGGGCTCATTACAGTTTTCCAAATGAGGTCAGTGTATGGCTCAGGAGGCTTCATCCCTCCTCTGAGGTCCTCACACACACCCCTCCCCTAATGCTAACTCCTAAACAGAAATTAGGGAGTAGAAAATATCCAGTTTCCATGCCTTCCATTCAGGGATCCAGGGATACCCAATCTTTCTCAATTCTCTCCCTCTGTCTCTTCTTCCCTCCCTCTCTCCCCTCTCCCCCTCTCAAAACACTTTCTGCTGGAGCTGAGGACCTCCCGTTCAGAATCCTAAGAGAATGTCCACAGGAGCTTGGCATGAGGTTTTCCTTCTCCCAACAGGTTTTTCCTGGTAATCTTAACTCAGTCGTAACAGTAAAAACAGCCTGGGGAAAATGACTCGCTCTGCAGCCCAGATAATGTGAACGTCCTGTGCCTTGGCAGAGCTAAGGCTTCCTCCCTCTGTGCTGCCATCAGAGTCCACCCAAGGCCAAATTGGGAAATGGGCAATATTTGTCCTCAGCCCCTCAACCCTGTGGGCACTCCTCCATCCCTCTGCCCTCAAGCTGAAGCAGCCAGGCCAGTCAGGGTACTTGAGTCCCTATACTCCAGCCCTTCCTGAACTCCTTTGCATCCTTCCCCCATCAGAGTCTTATGTCAGGACCCCTAGTCCTCTACTCTCTACTGGGCAACACAGTTGGCTAACTGGATACACCTGGATGCAGCAAACAAAGCACTGGCCAGGGAGGCAGAAGACTCAAGTTCTAGTCCTGGCCCTGCCACTTTTTAGCCATATTTTCTTGGATAAGTCTCAGCACTCCGGTTGCATCATCTGTAAAATGGGATAATGATGCCTTCCTTGGCTCCTTCACAGCGATTAGGCAAGCTTCTGAGCCTCAGTTGTCTCATCTGTTAATTGGGGATAATGACACTATCCTCGCCTCCTTCACAGGGTTGCTCTAAGGCTCAACGGAGATCACTCATGTGATAGTGCTTTGTATACAGGAAAATGCTATATTCACAGAAGCATTATGAGCAGAGCTAACAGCAGGCTAACAGCAGCCTCCTGGAAACACTGCCTCGACCTAGAGATGTAAGCCTGCTGGTTAGAATCTGTGAACCATAGCAGACCTGAGAGGGAGATTTGCCGGGACAAATGGGCCTCATCACAGATGTGGCCACCTTTTCTGCCCACACTGCTGGCCCAACTGTCCCCACGTGGCTGAAGTCTCCCCTTCCTGTCCAACACCAGCAGCCTCTCTGCTGCAGTCTGCCAGCCCTGTCTGGAACATGACCAGCTCCTTGGCCATTTCTCCTTTGTTCTTCCTCCTCTTCTCAGTATCTCTGGCACTTTCTGAGCACTCTGCCTTCCTCCACCCTAGAAACCAAGCTCCATGGGTCTGCGCAGGGCTTGTCCCCTCACAGGGTCCTGAGGGACGAGCTCTCCTAGCTAACCCTGTGCCTTGTCAGAAAGCTGAGGGATGCCAAGCAACTGCACCTCGTTCTGTGGTGGCGACGACAGCAGAATAACAACAGTAACACTTGGTACTGATGTCACGCTGCTCAGCAGGATGCCCAGAGGCACTGCATAGGATCATTCAAAAGCCTTTGCTGTCCCCCTGGCTTGTGTTCCAGCTGGGTTGGAAATGGGGAAACACCACAAAAAAAGTCGACATTAGAACTGGGGAGATCTGGTGTCCTGGGTTCCACTCCAAAATTCAAAGAAGAAACTTTCAGCTCTGCTGCTGACACGCTGTGTGAGTGTTAAATAGGTCCTCCCCTTCATGTATTAGCTTTACCACTTATGAAGTGGGAATATTAAGAGCTCCATTTCCCTTGTGAAATGAGGGGGTAGAGGAGGTAATTCCTGATCTCTTAAGCAATGCACGTAGATCCTCCCCTCAGTCAATAGGTCCCTGGTTCAGCTTTCAAGTCCCTTGAAGGTGACACAGGTATAGGCACACCCTGAAGGAGGCAGCTCCTCCCATCAGACACAAGGGAAATGCAGTCTCTTCTGGTACAGGAAACTCAAAAGGGGCGAAGAAGCAAGAAAGGGTAAAATATGCAAAATTGAACTGGTGCAGGCAGCTCATTAAAACCAACCATTTGGGGTTTTGACCGGAGGATTCTTTGTCCCCTCCTGTCCCCCTGCCCCCGGGGAGGAAATGCAGATGTGAAGGCAGGTCTGTCATCTCTTAGCCAGGCTTTTGGGCTCAGAAGCTGGATGGCTGCACCACGTAGCAACAGCAGCCAGCCGCCTTCTCTCCCCTAAAACTGGCTCAGGCTCGTCTCCAAGCCTCTAGGGAAGTGGTTTCAGGACTTTCAGTCCATGGGAAGGGGAAACCCCAGCTGAGGCCCCGGGAGCAACCCTGGCACTAGTGCCAACAAGTGGTGCGGACAGCTTCGGGACTCCGATGGGGAAGATTGACACGCCAGGGGTGAAATGAGCTCCAGTGAGGAGCCCCTCTCTTCCCCCCGGCCACTTCGCCCCTCCCCCACGCCTTCCCTCCGGACCCGATCCGGGAAACCACCCCATCCCATCCTACCCCACCCTCCGTCTTCCTTCCCCGCCCCTAGCCGGGATCTCTTCCCCCAGCAGCCGGGCACTGCCTGCGGGCCGGTGCTCGCTCCCTACCTCAGTGGCCATGTTCCGGGGGCGCTGACAGCTCCGAGCAGCTGCGGGGCCCGTCGAGGGGGGTTGTCCGCCGTGCTGACTCGGGGAGCAGGTGGGCTGGCGGCAACGAGATGGGGCCCGGGGCGCTGTCCACGGTGCTGATGCGGACGCCGCCGCCCCGTGCGCCCGTGGGCTGCGCCGGCGGGCGGGCGCCTGGGTCCTGGATACGGTCACTGTGCTCTCCGCGGTGCTGATAAGGGCGCCGTGCCGGAGAGGCGAAGCCTCAGCCGAGGCTCTTCCGGGCCCGATCGCTGGCTGCCGCTGCTCCTGCAGGCAGCGTCCCGGTTTATCTTTAACAGGGGCGGCGGGCGTGGGGGCGGCGGGGGGGTGGGGGGGGGCGGGGAGGAGGAGCCAGGCGCCTCGGCAGATTGGGGGGGA